GGTCCAGGTGGCTGAATCTGAGCCAATTTTTAACGGAAAGGCTAGTGACACAGTGGCCAATAACCCAATTCCAAATTTTTCGTCATGATCCATAACGGAGTAAGGCTTGCACTGAAGGAGTCAAATATTCTTGCCGACTGATTTACAAAATGGCATTGTGAATTTCGAAAATAGTATGACCTAGGATGATCAAGCGACATGGCTAAGGATTTTACTTCCTATTAGGTGAACCCATCTGAATCGACAATGTGCACAACTACTGTCGGATGTGAAGGATCCATCGTTGATCTGTCTTCGACGGTGTCACACGTGATATCAGATCGCATGAGAAGTAAAGGGAAGAGTAAAAGCCTCATGTGTAGTAAAAAGGGGCGACTAAACTAGAGTCTTAAATTGAAGGTATTGTTAATCGGAATTTGGGGATATTCGTGGTTGAACTGCACCACGCGCCTTCAGGTCTTTCTGTTCGTGTTGCGCTTCCAGGGATGGCAACTGATTAAAACACAAAAAAGATTTAAATCTAAAGCTTGTAAATTTGAGGAAATGAGGCTAAAGTGATAAAACTTCGTTTTTTTCCCTTTATGAATTGGCATTTTTAAGTGTCTGAACTTGGATCCTTTTGAACTCCCGACCATTTACTAGACAGTCCTCAGAGCAGATGCCTATGTCGGCTACATACGTGGATAAACAATGATGAGTGCGTACACGAATGACTCTATCCTTAGAGTGATTTGTGGTACCCGTAAGGTACATCCATGCACAGTTTGAGCCGATCAAGATTGACTGACCGAAGGCATGGCTATCTAGAATGTTCGGAGACCAGTCATCATTAAGAATCTTCTGAAGTCGAACAGGAGTCTTTTTGGGGTCGCAAGCATCCCAAGAATTCTATCCATCCTCATGTATAATCTTTATCATTCTATGTAAACTACCCGAAGTTTAGGGTGAGAGAGTTGACGTCTTTAACGGCTCATCAGCACCATTTTTTGGGTGCAATTTGGTACATTGTCAATGCCTTTTGATGTTATCATCATCTTAGAAATGAAATCCAATGGGGAGGCTTGCAACCCCAGAAAACGTTCCTGCTCAATTTTCCCGAAGTTACCCATTTATAGCCAATCCCTAAGTGTTCTGAAGAGTCGTGTCCCCACTCTCTCTCCTGATTGGCTCAAATTGCGTATGGATGCGCTTTAAGTGTACTGATAATCACCAAGGTCAAGGTCGCCTAGTTACACCACGTGAACATTGAAGCTACCGAGCGAATCTCACCCCGTCCCCACTATCGGCTGTCTGCGTCAGCGATAAAGACGTCCGTTCTGATGTTTGTCATTTATGATCTGGTTGGAAGCTCTATGGAATAATGACCACGCACATACAAAACCCACTTTACAGCAGAGCTAAATAGCCCCTGTCATTCTGCTCAATTTAAAGCAGCAATATCCTGTTTGACACCTACCTTACTGGAGTTTTGGGAAGAAAATTAGCAAATATGGATCAGATGCTTCGTTTTTTTAAAATTAATACTACCACATTCACTGCTGAACTGGATGATGTAACTGCCGCTCAAAAATTAGGAAAATGCATTTGTTCTTAGACCAGTGGTATCTTACATATTCTTTGCTCTAACTCAACACAAATTAGTGCTTGCTCAGGCAAGGAAATAAGCACCTGTGCTTTTGACATTGCACTGGTGGTGTATGCATGCAAGCCATTCAAAATTGGGAATTGAGTCACGATAGCGCATTGTCACTGAAGTAGGCTGTAATTTCATACATACATTCACCTTGTCCGTAATCACTCTAAAGTGTGCGTACAAATCCCGTCGATTAAGAAGAGATTAATTATCCCGCATCCGGACGTTTATTTGATGCAAGCTAAGTTCGATGACACTTAGCGGGAACCGCAAGTCTGATTGCGTTTCTTAGCCTTCTGTGATCGTTTGATGCGCTTGCAAATCACCTGGTCAGTCATCCTGACAATGAATCGAGTCATGAGGAGAGCTGCCAATGAGCAGCCGAATGCGACTCCAATCACGCCCCAATTCAGACTTCCATCTTTTGTCCTTAAGTAAGCGGCCAGACTGACTCTCTAGAGGGAGAATAAAAGTCGGTTACAATATCCCAGCACACAACATGACACCTACTTCCAACCAAGGGAGGCATTTGCTCAAAGTAACTGTCATGCAGTGGAGGGATAGCAAACAAACGAAGGATATGGTCAGAGCAAGGAGGTTTTCGTAGAGCTCCTCCATCCTTTCAAAGCTGTCAGCACACGCAGTGCAATCAATAGTCAGGTTGTGGTCACGTTGTGTCTGGTCACCTGACCATTTAAATGGCCAGGCACACATTTGAGATAGTGAAAGTCGAACAATGCTTCCTCCGGCATATGTGAACGCCTTTTCCTTGTGTTGCAGCGTTGCAAGTCTTTTCATCGTTCACCAGAGTACACACGCCATGAATAAAAGAGCTGAAAAGGGGGAGGTGGGATACCGCCTTTGTTAAATCTTACTTGTTTTAATGACTTCAGACGATCTTGGGTGGAATTATCTTCAGCTGGAAACAGTTTTTATTCAACTGCCTCATTGCAACAGCTGGCCTGATTGTCACAAGACTACTCGATAATCTGTTGCAACTGGTGTTTCCCTGTATTTGTCAGCCTCTCACCTGTTTCTGTCGCCCAAAGCCCCGCGGTGAACGCCAAAGATAATTTATAATCATCTTGAGCCTCGAAAGTAGGATTTAAATGAGTTAAACTAAATGTTACACTGCTTAAGGATAAACTTGGAGTAAATATTACATGTCGTCGATATTTTAGCAAAATCTGTAAACCGAGTTCTTTTGTTTCCTGACCAAAGCGGAATATGGAAGATTTCACGCGTTTATATTGCAATCCTTTAGGCTATCGATGAGCATCATAGTTTGCTTCCCCAAGATTATGTTGTGGCTAGTGCAAAACCGAATTTTCAGCCCCTCAGCTAACACATCGAGCTAGAGATTGAGTCAATTTGAACTTTCGTACTTAATAAATCAACAGAATAGATTAAGATTCTCGATAGTCGATCTTCAAGACTTCTGCAACCTGCACAAGAAGGACTACGTTTATGGAAAAGAATTTTAGCAATGGAAAGTAGCGTTTACGTTAGAGCGGAACATTATTTTCCCTCTTGTAATCTCATTGAAGAAAATTACATAATTTTAAGGGGCCGACAAAATGTTCTGCGTACATTTTATTACTTTCCCAAGGCGGTTCCAGTGATGTTGACATATTCATCTAGTTAATTGCTGTACATCACAATGTAGTAAATAGGTATTTCGCCTAAATGTGTATTTGACTATGGGAGTACAGGTTGTATTTCTGCTTTCCGGCCATGCTAGTAACCTCAGCCCTTCTGTAGGTAATTAGCATATGCTCTTTCACTACTGAAGATTCGGATCGCTAAGATAAAATGTGACAAACTCATTATTCAACGGTTTAAAATTCATGCATTCTGTCCAGATTCTCAAATAGCGTAAATTATTAGTGGTTTGCGTATTTGCAGTGACGGCTCATCGTTTACAATAAATACGAAGATTAGTGAAGAGCTATGAATGGATACGGATATGCAATTGGCAAGAATTATAGACCGCACTTAGACTATCCAGGGAATTCATATTAGGATAATATTCAGAGGTTGGTATGCCATGCGTAAATGTCCTGAACTCGAGGGATATTATAAGTGACTTGGGCAGTTGGCTCTTGGTTCAGTAACCTCCCGTTAACACAGTAAGTAGGTGTAACGTTAGAGCAAAATCTGGAGCAAATCTATAAAAAGCGACGTTAGCACAAGAGAACGAAACAATATACCTATATAGTTTTAATGGTGAAAAATCGATAGGTTTTGCATACATTGCAAATATGCGACCAAGTTAACTATTGGCTGCAATGTCAAAGACATCCGCCAGTGAGGTTGGTCGTCGTACGAATAGCGTGCTTGTTTTCTTCTTTCTCACCAGGTTCATTTGTAAGTTGCATGTGGCCATTGTCACTTCAAACGACTTTTTGGTATGATTTAAGTGTTTATGGCTTGTAAACCTACTGATATACTCGATTGAAGTCGTTTGTCAACCTCCACTAGTTGAATTAGTGTACTTGCTAATTATCACGTGGTTAGCTGTAGTAAAATTTCCCTCTAATTTTTGCTTAGAATGGTAAGGCTTGCTGAAATCGGGGTAGGTTGGTCGAATTGTGGTATTTCCAGGTTTGCTCGGTAGATTTTCGTGAGACCGGCTAATGTTTCTTTTGCGTTTTGGTAACAATTGGGCACCCTTGGGGATAATATCCGTAAGCAAAACCCTCATTTACGGTACAATAAAACAATAATCTGTTTGCTCTAACCAAGGAGTGATTTGTGTAAAAATCGCATTGTTGATATGATAATGAGGTGCGCCAGGCTATGTCCTCAGACAGTCATTGTCGTTTGTAGAATGTGGCCTTCATATCCAGGGTGGCCTCAGTGGCCACAAACAATGCCAAGCACGGTTGAGGAAACCAATCACTGGGCACAACTTGCTCGCCAGTGGGCAGCTGCCAATACGGTTCAGCAGCAACTACCACCGCCCCCGCCGCCACCTCCTCCGCCGCCCCCGCCGAGGCCCGTCGAGGCCGAGACGCGGCTTGCAGTCGTTATGGAAGACCAGGATGATCGGGTTCTGGTGCCGCTGCCCCCCTTTGAAGTGAACCACGACACGGATGATCGTGTTCTTCCCCCTTCGCACGACTTCTCACACGGTGGCTAACTTGTTTTCATCAGCTCTTTATGTGTTCTTCTCTTGCTACTGCCTTACTCTTCACTAAAGATTCAGATTATCGTCGGATGCAACACGGGAGCTTTACGGGTCCTTCCAACCAGTGGCAGGAAGGTCCCCAGGATTACTATCCGCCTAGTGAAAAGGGCTATGTGGACCCGCCTTTGGATCAGCCGATTATCAGGGAGTATCATCACACGCACTACGGCCAGCCACCTCGTGGAGATTTCACGAGACCACCTCCACCCATTCCTAATGTATGATAATGTAGTGATTAAAGTAATATCATGTAAGGTGCTTTTTACTAACTCGTTTCTTAAGATAGTTGCCAGTATCACAGGAATTAGCAGCAGCATTTTGATTTTACTTGCAGACATTTGCAATTAAAAGGTACTTTGTAGTTTCAAAGCGCTGCGACGCTTTTCCGAAAACTCTCTGGGATAAAAAAGTGTGTGGTTTCTCGTTAGTCACCCAGTTTTTTATAGGGTTTGGTGGAACATCTCATGTCACCTACTACAAAAACTCTATGACTTCATTAATGCTTCTTATGCTCATTTCTATTAAATTATGTTAACCGAATTGAGAGTTATGTAACGGGAACTTTTTGTAGTAGCTAAGTGGATTCATCAAAACCGTACCTCATCATACATTATGTTCTTCTGGCTCATTGCAGATGTTGATCTCAGTTAGGCAGTTCATTTGTCTTAATTGCCATCTTGAGCCAAACATGGAAGTAGCCAATAGTAATATAAACAAATGGATCAGATTTTTCTCATGCTTAGCTGGGAACACAGACTTTTTACAACTGAAGGAGCCGCCTCAAATCTGAAGTGACAACTTCTCCTTTTGTGTAAATATCAATCGCTCAAAAACGTGTTCTGCTTTTGTAGCTTTCGCAATCTAGTTCTTTAGGTACATCTGATGAGGAGTCACAAGTTTACCTATCTTCACACTTACAACGATTTTTAATTGCCAGATGTTTCTTCTGATATGATAAAAAAAGAGATGTAAATTCTAAAGAAATTCGGAACTGAATGCCCCCAATTCTGGATTTCAAGTAACTTTTCTGACTTTCTTGTTAAAGTTCATTTCCTGCGATGCGGTAGATTGAGGAAGAGAAAATCAGTCTAGTTTTTGTAGCTGGTTCTTCTTACCGGCCCGTTGCATCATTTACAATGAAGGGATTGTTTCAGATGTCCCATACTTTTGTCCTATCTTTTAAATTCCAATTACTTTAACTTGCATTTCTAATTTATCGTCCTTCAAAAATTATTTTTAGGGTGTGATTCATCAAAAAAGGAATGCTTTAAAGGTTTGAAGAGATCGCAGCGGCCCCTAGATTTAATTACCGCTTACTTGGAGTTGGACACATTAATGTCCCCTATTACTGAATTCATCATAGTCATGTTGGCCATAATATATGGATGACAGATCATTTAACTTATTTGGTAGATATTCTCATTCCATAAGTGTTTTCACGCTACATTGAACAATCCAGACTTGGATTTACTTTCTACTTATTTAACTGTCAGCAGTATCTAGTGGGAGAGTAAGAGTCATTTGTTCCCATGCAGTTAGTTCAGGTTCAAGCTGCGATATCTCAAGCAAAGTACGGTAAATGCTAACAAAGGGATTGCTTTAGAATCCATGATAATTCTTCTAATAGCAACAACAGGGCTACCCTCCGCCTCCTCCCCTCTATGAGGGTAACAGGCCATACCCCGCTGAAGCAGTTCCAGAGCAGGACTGGAGTTACGCACGCTGTGCACCAGCGTCGATGTCGAACCCCATGGTGGATGACTTCTCCATGCCTCCACCAACTCTCTTTCCCATTAGTCAGCCGCCGCGCCCCCATTTCGTAAGGCATCCCCTGCCCCTGCGGCAGCACTTCCCACACTCCATCCCTGAGCACGTGATGCCTGCCTTCCGTGAGTCCAGTTGCCCATTTTTCAAGCCTCTCAATGAATCTTAGATTGTGAGCTCTTATTCTACTAGGCAGATTTCCCCAAAGGCCTGGGCACTGTATATCCTGGAGTTGTTTCGAATCTCAAAATTTTCTTAGTTACTATTTGATTAAATAATAATTTTGTGCAGTTTTTATTGTAAAATCTGATTGATTACAGAGAATTTGAATACCATGTTCGTTAAAGTAGTCATTATGACTGTTTTCCTTCTCCAGCGAGGCACAAGCTATGTTTATACTTTAATGAAGAACTTCACCTTTGGAAGCCATAAAAATCCATCTCTAACCATTTCCTTTTCTATCTTCACTTTCTTCCCATTCTTGATTTCGTATTTGATTGTCTAATGCCAAGAAATGATAGTAGATATCATCTGGCGAAACATTCTGGAAGAAAAGTTGACGATGACGATGAGTAGGTACCTGGTATATCGCTACCTTCTATTCTAAGGTACATATCTTCCACGCGTAATTTTTGCGACAAGAAATGAGCTCTTGTTTTGTCTTTTAAAGATTAAAAGCTTCCAGCCGATTTGGCTAGTTCTGGCTATTTCTTAAGCAGTGGTTTTACTTTTGCACCTCTAAGTTTTTTCAGTATCAAATGGTTAGAATTCAGCCTCATTTGTTTGGCCTTTAGTAGGTAATTCACAGTGACCAATTGCACGTGTAATGCACTTCTGAGGATGTTGTGCGTGCCACGAGTGTGGAACTGTTAGTGAGTGGATTCTTTGGGGATAGCAGATGATGTACTTGTTTACTTAACGGACATTGCAGTACAAAGGACGAAAGTCATGTCGAAATATGTCATTCAGCAAGCTGTCTAGTATTTAGCAGCTTCCTGGAAGTAAACGAATGGAGACCCTTTGGAGCTTAATATTGGCTGTTAATGCGTGTGAGTGGGAACCATTTACTTGGTTTCCACGACTTTGCTGGTAATTTGATCTCAACCAATCGTTCTCCCACCCATTTTAAACATTAATGCAGGTTATTCTTGACAGGTTAGTATCTACCTAACTTGCTAATAGCGTCGTGCATTTCTTCGTTGTCATTGAAAGGGAGTGTTCCTGAACGCAATGCATCTTTCCTTGATTCACCACTAAGGTGGTACGGTTTGCAAACGCGCCTCCTCAAATTACTCTGTAACAAATTTCAGGAGAGGTTTTCTGCAGCTTTCAAACAAAGTTTGCATTCTTAAAGCGGTAAATATATTCCGATTGAATTCTTCTGGTTCAATCTGCACTTCATGATAAGAGGAATAAAAAGTGGGAGAAATATAGCGCATAGCATATATCGGAGTACCGTGTTGTACTGATTCATATCTGTTTTGTAATGCATACATGTAAACAATCTCATGCGTTTTACAAGGCCTTTTAAGATGCCTTACAAAGGCGCACTTACAACTGCAGGTACTTTTTCGTTACTTAAGTATATTTTTTGTACTTTGGGTTTGGGAACATTCTACCTTTCTGCCATCATTTCCTCATTACAAGCTACAAATTAGTTTCTTATGACACGTTGTATTAGTTTATGTTCCTTACAAAATTAAGTGCTAAATGCATTTTTTGTTAATTCTCGAAGAATCTACTTAACCGGTGTCAGCCAACGTCTTTTCTTGTCTGCCTTCTTTTGTAAATAGCTAGTGCGGTAGCTGATTGACTTTTTCATGTTTTATCTGTTACAAATGCTCCAATATTTTTCCCTTTCCATCTACGACGTGAATAAATGATTCGTAATTTTACTTTAGTCAATCTTTTTTGTTGTCTTTGGTAGACCTAATCTTAACCGAAGTTCTCATCCTGGCAGTGAATTTTGCATGTTTTCTCTGCATTTCCCTGGTAATGTGCAATCCAAACTGAAAATTCTTAGCCAATGTTCCATCAACAACCACATGTTGCCGCTGTCGTTTTGCCGTGAAGTGTTAGAATCTGAACAACAAATAATTCAACATTTGCATAACGCTTCATAGATCTAGCCGCTGCGTTGTTTTGCGAAATCTGCCACACGCCGACTGCGAAAGATGCCAGCAATGGGCCATGGACAGTGTTGATTTGTGTCACTTCAAATCTAGTCACTACCGGTTGTCATATTTGCGTTAGAATAAGCTTGATTCTGGTGCATGGAAGGTCATCAATCATCCGATCGCCGATAGTATCATTTGTTTGCGCTTTACTGACTTTTCGTGTTTTTGATAAAGTGGTTTCAAGTGGTCCATCGTTCGACAGTCGGTCCAACTAAGTTGGTTTTTCCGTAGTCACGAACGCTGATGGTTTTGTGGTAAATCAAGGGAGACTTAATGATCTACTCCTTGCTTAATTATCTCTTGTCGACTTACACCCAGTAGCTTTTTCTGTTAATGTTTCTGTATGAATTTGAGGAGCAACTCTGTCAAAGTAGCTGCAATGTGACCTTATTTACTTCTAATTTTTTGCCACATGGGTACTTTACAGGACTCTGCTACAACTCTTACTTTTTTCTCATTTGGGGAGGGTTGTTTACGAATGTAATTTGCATTCCTTTGCTCTGTCGGTAAAACCCTCTTCTGGTATGCACTTTTTCATTGTATCTTTACAATAATAATTGCACCATTAATTAACTCAAGCCAATTTTCTCGTGTTTGCTTTTGATTGTTCTCGAGCGATTGCCCTCATTTTCACTTGCCACAAACGGAACTAATATTTTTATATATGAACTATCGAGGCTTCATTTGAATGCACGTGTGCCCTACCTCTTCACTGTTACCCTCTGAGCGTGCCGAATGGCCGTCTACGTGATGGCTCCATCAGCAGTAATTGGTCTGATCAGCCTCCTTTTCTTATCCACTCGAAAGAGGAAGCGGCGACGAGCTCGGGTGCTTGGCCACCGAAGGAGACGGGCGAGGCGCGTCGCCGTACTCTGCCCGCCTGGCTGCGTGACGAGTTGGAACGTTTGGAAAAACAGAAACGCAAACAACAGGAGAAACTGGAGGCCAGCGAAGTTCTCAAAGACCGTACGTTCCTGTCCAATTCTCTTTCCACTGTTATGGAGAGTTTTTTTTCGATGCTGTTGAAGTTTTGTGAGTCGCCTCCTCGTGACCATACAGCTTATTAAACTGAAAAATATCATTACTTTTTGCCTTTTGCTTCAACTAAAGAATTCATTTGCTAATACCAGTTGTATATTTTATTTGACGGTGTGACCGTTTGCGTATGGGAGCTACTTCTATGCATTCCAAAATCATGCAGTTGTAGCCTTTGAGTTACTTTTGTAATCCTTGCGAAGAATGCGATTCTAAATGTTGACTTAGAATAAGCCTACAAAAAAGCCGATAGACTAATTCTGTGAAAACAGGATCGTCGGGTACTGAAAAGCCCCCTATAGTGGTTGTCGATGCTCTCATTAAAACCACCAAGCATCGCTTAGGACTGGACAGTGTTCTGTGGTGACCATGTTTTATCCGTCAATTGCTTTTCTTCTAAACATCTGCTTGAAGGCAAATTTTAATGAGATGGGTATTGTTTAGTAACTTTCCGAGTTTTGTCATATCCTCGGTGTTTAGTTGATATAGCAAAACTGTTGGGCAACAGTAGATCGCCTCTCTATATTTGAGTCACCGCAAACTGCTTTTTTGCAGAAATATTACGGGCAGTTGTGCGTTTCAAATGTAGAAGAGTACCGGGGCACTCTTGAAGATGGCAAAAGACATGCGGGTGTGAAAGTTGTCTAATTATAAATATACAGAAAGTTTGGAATGCTGGTTGCCTAGGTGGCTGAAAATTGATTTCCAAAGGCTTCAATTTTTAGGTGAAAGCGGAGGCAGTTTAAGCGCTGGAGGCGATATTAGACGCGACGCTGATGGTGCAGTTGTGATGGAAGAGGAGGAAATGGAGGAAGATGAGGACGAGGAAAGTAGGGGAGGAGGAAGGGACGATTCCAGCTACGAAGAGGATGATGAGGATAATTTAGGTAACGTTAGCGCCCAGGGCGCCAACTCCCCTCACGGCGGTTCACCGCGAACAAAGGTCTCGGTAAGCTGTCCCGTCTAGGCACTCTCCCCACCCACTCTCTTCTCGTCCACCCCGGTCATGACCACCACCGTGCAGTTGGTCTAACTCCCTAACCCTCTCCCCACCTCGTTTCGTCCAACCAGAACTCTGGATTTGTGGATGCAGAGCGTGGGCTCGAAGCCCCTCACGTCACCGAGGCGGAGTACTTGGCTATCTGCGCGCGTCTACCTGAAAACCTTTTCATACCTGAACTGGTACGTTAGTCTGCATTTTTTTCATCCCCTTAGAATCGTTGCATCACCCGAGTTCTGACAGACGTCCTTCTGGATGTCACAACTAAATTCGTTCTCGATGTGGCTGAAGAGGCGTGTCAAGAGGCGCGTAATGCGTGCAAACGACCGGTCGTCGATCTAGCTAGTGGTTCGGAGGGGGACCATGATAATACTGACCCCGGTTCAAACGACAGTGATAACCCTGAACAACTTGGTGTAGGCGTGTTGGGTAAGTGTTTGTGAAATTTCCTAACATCTTCCTTCAAGGTCTCTCTGCTTATGCCAGTGATAGTGACTCCGACAGAGAAGGTGAACAAGAAGCAACTTCCGAATCTGAAGCAGTTGTTGAACCCCCTACAAAATTGGATCCCGACGAAACTCATCCGAAAGTTGAAGATCCTAGTGTCATCACGCCCTCCACGGAGAATGAAAGAGGTCAGTGTACTGAGTCACTCATTAGCAGCAACGATAATGCAAGTATGCATAGTAACTTCTGTAATCGGTTCTAGAGCCAAGCAGGGATGCTCCAAAACTGCGAGAAGATAAGGAGAAAAAGAAGGATACTGAAAAGCACCGCGATTCGGTCGAGATGAAGAACAAGAAAAAAACGCCGAAAGACGACAGACATGAGCATCCTTCTTCTTCCTCCCCTTCCCTGTCACAGAATAAAAAACGCACAAGTCGGAGTGCTCAACGCAGAAGTACTAGGAAGAAATCCGAAAAAGAGACGAGTGATGAGAGGTCAAGTCGTAGCTGTAACCACGGAAGGCATCGTGGTCGCTCTCGAAACCGCAGGCGTTCAAGAAGCCGTCGGCGTTCACGCAGTCGAGATATCAAACGTCGAAGGTATTCACGAAGTCGTAGTACCTCGAGGCGCAGACGTTCACGTAGCCGTAGCCGCAGTCGATTGCGAAGCAGACGTTTGCGTAGTCGCAGTTATTCGCGCCGTAGGCATCATAGATCTCCTTCATCGACGTCCACGTCGTCTTCTTCCTCGTCATCGTTATCGTCATCTCGTCGTGGTAGCAGGAGACGACGTCGCTAATTTGTTGGTTTTTAGGCAAGTTTGGCCACTTTACCTGGTAAGTCGGATGCATTGAATATTCCTGGTTTATCCGTGTTTCTCCCTTTTTATTTACTTCGTTTTTAGATGACCTTGGTTGAGTTGACTCTCAGCCATCTACTGAGAGTTACTCATCTTCCCTTCTCCCTTGACTTAATTGTGTGAAAATTGGAATTAGCTCCACAATTTGCTCTTAAAATCGAGTTTGAGTTTTTTCCCAGTGTGAAACAACTTCACTTGAGTGTCATTTGTCAATCTTATGCTCCCTTTTCCCTTGTAGGTGTACGAGCAAGTACTTGTATATGAATGATCCCTCGTTTTTAATGCTTCTTTATGATTGTAAAGAAGAATATCTGAAATTTTTGGAATTCATTTTCTCAATCTGGGGCAGGTGCTTAAAAATACGATCTTATAAAAAAAATTGGACGACTAAATAAAACTACCTGGAAGACGAACTCCTTTGAACCTACGTGTCTTCACGCTCCTTTATTTCTAGGGCCTTGACAGAACACTTGGTTGGGCGCTGTCAACTTTGACAGATTTTAGTCGACAAAGGCGTGGGATCTGCGGCTGTGTTCCTTCGGGCTGTCGCCATTGACTTTTGTGAAGGCCGTATAAGTTGGCAGTAGCGATTGGATGCTGTTATCCACTTACCAGGATAGCAAAGTGCCGATGCCGGAGGCGTAGGTGGGGTTGGTAAATTGTGTTCGTGGTTCTGGTGGGGCGGGAAGGTGGGGGTTCTGGGTCGTATGAATTCGGTACTTGAATGGAACGGGTGGCGTGCAGGTGGGGTGGTGTACACGCGAGTTATAATTCTCTGATGGCATATTCATCTGAGGTATCAGCAGCAGCGCATGGTCTTTCAAGAACGTGCGGAACTGTCGGGTACCGCCTTGTTAAAACTACCTTAACTCCAAAAATTTGAACAGGCTGGATAACTGTTGACTTGATTGTGCATGCGGTGTTCTCTCAAGTTGAGCTCTAAGGGATTGTGGGGGAGCGTACGTACTGCATACGCGATGTGGTTTTGCGAGATTTCATCTTGAAATGAGGCAGTGGGCTCCTCCACTTGCAAGCAGTTTTCCTCCGACTTCCATAACCCTTGAGCCTCTAAGCTGCCTTACACCTCAAGCTTTCACTTTCAAATGAGAATTTCTTGAAATGCGTAGGGGTTTTTATTCCACTTTTGACCCACTAATCCCCACTTAAGATTTAATCGCCTCTAAAGCAAACCCTTGAAGTGGGACTATTTCGTACATTGATAAAATCACAGTGTATTTTGAATATCGTCAGTAATGCCACTGAGCGAATATCGTTTTCGAAGATGGTCCTGAAATTCAATTGTCTGAGAGCCTTCAGGCCTCCCTCTTCTCATCATCGGTTGCGGTTTGGTGGGTCCTGCTGCTGGCGCGTGAGGAAGTGTCGGGGGAAGGCGGAGGAGGCGGTGATTGAACTCTACTTTTGCGTCGGATAAGGTGAATGAAGGACTGAAACAAGGGAGAAGTTTGGGTGAGGCCGATATTACGGAGCCAGTTTTTCGCTTTCCTGTCGTGGCCGTTTACTGATACAATGATGGACAAGAGTTATCAATTTGATTAAGCTTACACCTCGTAGCCACTTTTCTGTCTGCTCCAATAATTCAGTTTCGGTACTAGTAAACATTAACTAGTAGTCAAGAACGTTTTGATATGCTCAGTATCTTTTCTACAGCAGAGCAACCTTGGAAAATCACTACTTAGTAGTCTTTGGGGGGAAGGGGGGTTATCTAGCTTAAGGAGGACATGGCTCTATGATGAACACTCGAGGATTCTGCCAACATTTGCATTTAGCGTGTCGAATTGATTCGGTCACTTATGCCAGTTAAAACTGCAGGTAACAGTTCTATTATTTCAATTCCCGGGTTTCCGTTGCTCATCAGTTCTAAAGCTGACCTTTGCTTTCGCGATAACAGGAAAAATTGTAGAAATTTTGGAAAAACTAACGAAGTCACTAAATTTGAAATAAAATGACAATTCCGTGCTACTTTAAAAAGATTCAGCAGATATGAGCGTTCATTGGAGCACAAGATCTTTAAATGCAAAATAAATAGGAGCGACAAATTACCTCTACTTATTGACGCTACGCCATCTACAATTCGTAGTAGTTGTAGTAAATGAAAGTGTACGAAGTTACGTGAATTTGTGTTTGCCCAAATGTCATTTCCATCGCATATAGGTCACTAGGCAGATGTAGTTCTATGCAACTACGATCAAATAGGAGAGTGTCAAAACTTGACGAAATAATAAACTTATGTGTTCAACTTCAAATAAGTTGGAAATCCTACTGGGCGTACACTGAAGAGAGCTTATTCGACTTGAGAATTAAGAATCTGTTCCAATGTCACCAAGAAAGAGTAGTGTAGAGTTACACTGAGAAATAGGGCTATATTCGATTACAAGGGATTGCACACACGATAGACACTTTTCAAAGGACAAAATAATAACATATTTCATGGGGACCACTATTAGCCATAGTTGTGATGCTTTCATGGATCCTTTTTTAGCACAGTGGGTAGCAATCTGCTCTTCAATCATTAAAGACGCGGAATACTGCTGAGTAACTGGAGGAAGAATTAAGGCAAATTTCAGATCTTACTGTTAGAGTCTGGAGAAATATTTGTCTAGGCATCAGTTACTTTCCTATTGGCTTTAATAAAGACAATAGAGGAGCAATCAACCTCCCATCGGAAGTGACTTTAAAGCAGTCGCGTTTTTTGTGCACTAATTGCATGCAAATTTACCTGCCTTTTGTATTCCAATGTCTTTGCCTGTATGTCTGTCTTTGGTCGTGTGAATTAAAATTAATTAACTCAGCCCTCTCCAAAACATATCCTTCACTGTTATTTTGTGCAAGTAAGTAGCCTACCGTTTACAAATTTGCTTCCAATTTTAGTGAGGCAGAATACATGAGATCAGTTATACACGTCATTACTGCATTCTTTCCCATCGACGGACACAGCGGAGCAGCACTTTTTGTAGTTCAAGTTAAGCATTTGTGAGGGCTTGTGGGCGCGCGTGCAAGCGGGAAGTCAACAGCACGGACACTCACGAAGTCTGCCATTGGTGTCGTGCAGGCCGATCCCGGATAAGGCGCCTTATTATCGTGAAAAGTAATTTCACGCACAATATGGTCACGACACACCAAATGCAAATGTAATCTCTAAAAAGAGTTGCGTGGTTCAATTATACACGTGGATTAGGAGGAATCATCAGAAATACTACAAAAAACACCCCTATCTTAACATAAGGTTTGAGTGATTACGAGGACAAGATACCAGATGCAGTCAAAATCGCAACAAAAAAAGAACAGAGGGTCAAATTTCCTGAAAAAAATGAGCAAAAGATGATTATAATAGGCGCAGTGATGCTGGTGAACGACTAGCTTTGTACAATGTGATCAGGAATGTAATAAAACACCTCTCTATGGATCAGAACATTCTGCAATTGAATCAGGACAAGTGCAAACATTGTTCTCATGACGGTTACTAATTCACAAAAAAAGTAATTTCAAATGGAACAAAACTATCTGGATTGGTATGCTGTAGCGTCATGATGTTCTAATCATACATTTACCTATTCAAGTACTAAAGTCTAGGCAGTGAGGCTTTCTGGACATATCCACAACCTCTCAGGCTTCCAAGATGTTAATGCTAATCCGAATAGTTACGTATTATTGTAGAAACTGCGGACGCAGCACTGGTGGCACCAGTAGGTGTATCAGACCCACTAGTAAGCGTCACTTCGTACTCCTACATATTCACAACCACATAAGCTTATATGCGTTGACAGCTATCACTTACGGCTAAAAAGGAAAGGTATCTTCCGTAGATGGATAAATCTATAAACACTCAAAGCAGTAGGCCTGCAGAAATCTCCCCGACTTTAGGCAAACTTCCGTGTTTAGAGTTCTAACTAAACTGCGAAAGCTCTCAAAAGGTGCGTCAAGGGACTCGTTTCATCGGCGAACCATAAGTGTTGTGTGAAAAATTAGCACCCACCTCACATTCTGATTAAGTGAGGGCGCCTTTGCAAGACAGATTAGCCGCATCGAAAGCACTGGAAAGTAAGGAGGAGAAAAGGGTACCAAACATGGTTTTACAAAGCCACCG